TAAAATCATAAGAAACCAATATCAATGAAAGTGACAGAAATAACTAATCTTGTAACCAAATCCTTAGACCTACTCTCTTTGTTCCTTCTTCGCAAGTGCCTTCTTTATTATAAGATTAAAATCAGAGATATAAAACTTACTATATAAAAGATACATAGTGTAGAAGATGTTGAAATCCCCTCGATTTTGTTTAGTTTATAAATTTGGGATGGAATTATAAACATTTTACTTAATCTTTTTCATTTTCTTTTTATACACGTTTTTTTTTTTTTTTTTCTTTTCCCTTCTATACATTGGTTTTGTTTTCGATCTTAAAATATCAACTTGATAGGATTGGATTGAGTCTTCATTTAGGTCAATGGCTACACCGAACCAACTTGGGACCAAAACCCATATCTACTGTAAAATATTCTAATTATACTCACGTATCTTCATGTATTTGATTTGTTGTAAACAGTAAGGTGGACTTGATATTTTTTCTTTCTTTCTTTATTTCTTTCTTTTTTTTTTGGAAAACTAAGAAGGTGGGACTTGAATGCATCTGATCGTTTTATATATAAGACAAAAGTTAGGGCTCATTAAATTTCATTTCTTATCTTCATCCAGTCAACTCAAATTGTTGCTATCTACCCCTACCTTTATTCTTTGGACCCCACCTCTTTTCTTTCCTTTTTATTGCAATTTTACCCTAACATAAATTCCATCTTTACCCAATGCCTATCCTCTCTAACCCTAACCCTACCTAACCTTAGCCCCACCCGTACCCCACTAGCTCCAGTCGGGACCTCATCAATGTCCACTACAACAAAAATAGTTAAAGATCACACTTTGACAAAAAAAAGATCTCACTTTTATTGGAAGTATGATAAAAAAAATTAGATTGATATTTTAATCACACTTTAATTTGATTGAGTGATAATATTTATTTTTTATGTCACTTTTCAATTAAGTGTGATTATATATATATATTTTTAATCACACCTTCTAATTAAAGTGTGTTTATATATACACTACTATTTTTTAATCACACTTTTTAAATAAGTGTGATTATATATATATATTTTTTAATCACACCTAATTAAAGTGTGATTATATATACATTACTACTTTTTAATTACACTTTTTAAATAAGTATAATTTATATATATATTTAATCGCACTCCCTAAATAGGTGTGATTGTATAAAATATTTCAATTGAATTTTTATATAAAATATACAATTCCCAAATCTGCGCCTCTATTCTACCCATGAATGACAAAGGACGACTAACTACTAGAAAAGAAGACTTTAGACATGGAACTTTTTTCAACGGTTTGAAAATGGTCGCAAAAAGAAATATTTTGTGACAGCAAAAAAAATCGTCGCGAAATTAATTTTTTTGTGATGGCATTTGACTGTCGCAAAAAAGGCATCGACTAAATACCATTATTAGAGACAGAAAATCCAAAGCCGTGACAAAAAGTAATATTATACACGACGGTACATTACCTGTCTTTTTTTTTTTTTTTTGCAGCGCCTTTTGTTAATCCGTTGCAAAAGATTTTATTTTTCTCATTAATGATGGTCCTTAAACTCGTCGCAAAAACTTAATCCCTAATTACCTTCGCGCCCTCCCCCACCCCCTTACTTTTTCTTGCTCATCCCTATACTTTTAGACTTCTCTTCGGATTTTTTTTTTTTAAAAAAAAAACTACCAGTTTTATTGGTGATCATATTTGGTTTAATTTTCTGAAACTTGTTTAAGATTTTTTTAAAAAGACTAAAAATTAGTTTCGTGAAAAAATTAAAAATATTTATCAATTTTATATAACTTTAGAAGGATATGAGTAATTTTTAAAAATCAAAAAATCGATCCCTATATATAAAGCATGAATGCTGGGTGTTGAAATCCTAAAATGACGTCGTTTTGAGCCATAACTCTGAACAAAACCCTTTCACTTTCTCTCTATCGCACTATCTGTGTGTGTGTGTGTCATGTCTCTGCAAAAACTCTTCAAACCCCTACCCTCTCTCCATCAGACCCCAAATCCCAAACCCTCCTCTCTCTCTTTTGCAAAAACTCCTCAAAACCCTCTCTCCCTCTCTCTCTCCATCAGACCCCAAATCCAAAACCCAAACCCTAACTGGCATAACAATGAGTGAGAAGGAGAAGATGGACAAAGAAAATACACACAGACAGAGCTCTGAACCAGAAGAAAAGAACAAAGAAAGAGAAGTAACGACGGAGAGAGAAGACGGCCGGAAGGAGACGGAAGAGACGAACCCATGCAAAGAACACTTCCACCCTTCAACCAGGTTAGGGTTTTGATTTGGGGATTTTCACTAAAAAATCAAGGTTTTGATTGAGAAATTCCAAAATTATGTAAAATTAGTGAACCTTAAGGAACTCTAGGTTCTTGAATTAATTCTGAAAGCATGTGATTATATTGTTTTAGATTGTCAATTTTTCTCTTTTTTTATAAACTTCTTGAATCTGAGTTGGGAAAAATATCTTTAATGTCAATTACTTATTGTGAAATTGGGTTCTTTAATGGGTTGAACACAATTTTTTTTTTTAATTAGTTGAAAATTCTGCTTCAATAGTTCTTGCTTATGAGTACATAATTTATTTGCTACTAATTTTCTTCACAAATCTCTGTCTCTCAAATTATTATTTCAGTGTTTTTTATTTTAATTTGGACTTGGACAATTAGGGATATTGCCATTGATTGATTGGTGTAGCTCCATTTTAAAAAATAAATTGGTACAGGCACACTTTGGTTATACTTTAATGGGACGGTTGTTTTGGATAAAACTAAAACCTAGATCACAAGTATTCTTGAAAAGGAAGATATGTACATCTAACAATATTTACTTGCTCTACACCTCTGATCTATTAAAAAGTTTAGCAATGAAACTCAAATCCATTTGCTTGGACTCAGCTAATAGTGTCCTTTCTCCTCATTATCTTATGTTATTCTCCATGAAGTCAGCCTGTGTATTTGTAACCACCTGATACATTCTTTTTTCAAGTTCTCTCTTTGTTCTTTTTTTAAAGATTTGCATTAATAAATGGGTGTGGACTATTGGGAAAATGCTTAAAGCTCCAGACCTAAAAGCCACTTGATAAGCATGTGGTGGTTGTAAAACAGAGTGAGTGAGGAAGGTCGAAAGACGTAATTTCATGGTCAAATTCAACTTTGTGTGCTTGGCTGACTATATCATAAATGTTCATATTGTCACTTCTTTCAACTCTCAACTAGGTGGATGCAAAAAGTTTATCTTTAGCAAAGTTCTTTTTTCTTTTAAAATTTACAGAGATATGGAAGCCTTTTCTTATAATAATGTTTTATTTTCTATTATTTTCTTACTTGGTTTCCTGTGGTTTAACAGGTCATAGGGAATTACTAGTTTCAATTCGTTTCAACAAACCTGGATGGCAATGGTCAGGATGCTTTTTACCAGATCATCTGAGTGATACTCAGGTGAAAATGCAGAATCATGTTTCTGGTGCAGTCAGTATGATACGTGTAAGTACCACATTATGTTGAATTAGCATGTGGATCATTGGAAACAGTGAGTAGAAGCTCAACGATGAAGAGATGCAGATCTGCTCTCTCTTCGATCAGATCTGTTCTCTCTCTCTCTCTCTCTCTCTCTCTCTCTCTACTTTTTAATCACACTTTTTAAATAAGTGTGATTATATATATATGTTTTAATCGCACATTTTAATTAAAGTGTGATTATTTATATATTTTTTAATTACACATTCTAATTAAAGTGTGATTATATATATATACTATTACTTTTTAATCACACTCCCTAAATAAGTATGGTTGTATAAAATATTTCAATTTAATTTTTATATAAAATATATAATTCCCAAAACCCTTTCACTTTCTCTCCATCGTACCATCTCCTCTCTCTCTCTCTCTCTCTCTCTCTCAGGTCTCTGCAAAAACTCTTCAAACCCCTACCCTCTCAATAGCCAAAAAAGTCAAGAAAAATCCTTCCCAAACGGACCCACAGTCTATTTATTTGCCTCCAAAAAAAATAGATGGTAAGTGTATTTTTTAAAATTGGCCACCTATTTTTTTTAGTAACAAATGCGATAAATTAAATATGTTATAATTATTAAACTGACTTAATTTTATTTTATGTATAATATACCCAAAAATCTCTATAACATGAATAATTAAAATATCAAAACAAAACTCACCAGTCCAAAAAGACCTTAACAACACCCTTTAAGCCAGTCCAATCCACATCAAGACTGGAGGCAACTCAGACCCTCCTTTTGTGTTTGTTAGTGTGTTTAAAATTGAAGTTGGAGAGATGAATCCAAAAGTTTTACAACCTAGACTTGTTAAGGTAATAATGGCTATCCTTCGTATATCATTCTTTCTCAAGCTCCATTTGTTTGATCATCATATAATTGGATGAATTTTTAAATTTTTTTTATATTTATTTTTTTCATTTTTCAATGTTTGGTTGCATGAGAAATGGGTAAAAGAATTTTCTCAATGAAAATATTTGATGACCTTGTTGCGATGATTTGTTGCGCAACAATAAAATAATGTTTATGATTATGACATTGTTCTCTCATCCAGCCGTTGACAATGTAGACGCAGATGACAAGCAATCACAAATTCATAAGGTAATTGAATTAACAAAATTATTTTTATGGTAAACAGAGTAACTAAAAAAGTCCTTTAATTAAAATTATTCTCTTGGTTTTGGTTGTGATTTGTTTCTTTGCTTTGTGATTTGTTGCTCTTATTTTTTTTTTTTTTTGGGTGTGTGTGTGTGTTTGTTTGTTTTACAGGTGTGATGGTAGAGAAATAAATCTTTTCACTCACTCACCGTTGATGTTTACTCCTCAGGTCAGTTCCTTCATATTCCCTCTCTTTTAGTTCATATCTTGCATTGTTTTTTGTATACAAATCTGTGCTTTTGGCTCCTAAGTTGGGATTCAGAATATATATAACGTATTTATGAAATTTGGTCTTTTTAGCAAATGGTTGATTTATTAATGTGTCAATAGGATACTTTATATGTGAAAATGCTACTACTTAGGTGATTAAGTTGATATGATGAAACCTTTTTGGTTGGGGATTATTTTTTTCCTTTTCCGTTTTTCTGTAGTTGACTATACACACTACTTGTTTGATGGAGGTCTAAGAATAGTTGAAGAAGCTATTGGAAGATGCATTGTGTGGCGCTTGATTCATGTATATCTACGAAATTGTGGATTCTTCTATCTTAGAACTATGTATTTGTTATAAGCTTTGTGTTGTCATATTTTTCTTTATCTTTTTTTTTTTTTTTTTTGCTTTTGGTGTGGTAGGAGTTAGTTGGTGGAAAGGAATATGATTCCCAGTTAAGGAAGCATTTTCCTTTTAAAAGGTGAAATCCTTCTAAATAATAGTTGCATATGTTTTTCTTAAATTTTGGGTCTGCATTTTGGTGCTTTGTGCTCATTTAGGACTCTGTGTTTGTTAAGTTTTGTATCGTCATTTTATTTATTAATTTGTTATTATTTTTAAATCAAGTAAAAAAGTGCCCAAACAATTTTTTTCTTGGGGGCGACAATATGAGGTGGGGTGGGCATTGCATCAGCAGTTATATAATTGTCAAGATGCCCTAAAACATTAGGAGCATAGAAAATCCAAATAGAAAAAAAGATAGCAAAGTTTTGCTCCATGTGTGTGTGTGTGTGTCTTGGCTTCGTAATGTTGGTGGAAAGGAATATGATTCCCAGATAAGAAAAGCATTCTCCTCTCAAAAGGTGAAATCCTTAAAAATTTATTAAGTATCATGTTTTTCTTGTGTTTTGGATCTTTGATTTTGGTGCTTCGTGCAAATTTGTCAAGTATCATGTTTTTCTTGTATTTTGAATCTTGATTTTGGTGTTCCCGTAAAATTGATTAGTTCCACATTTGCAATGATCTAACAGTTTCTTTTTTGTTATGGTCAAGTCTCCTTTTTTTTATTTTATAGCTTTTGGTTCCTGTTTTGTGGCTAGTGTATGACTTCAATTTGTGAACCTCTGTTTCAGTCATTGGAATTGTATCAATTCTGTATGATTTTAACAAGCAACTTACTTTTGATGTATTGAAGGCGAGTGCCTCAGCACAGATGTGGGCTAGCACCCACAATGATACTCTCAAAGAGAAAATGTCTGCACTCGTCAACGCTTTGTCTGCCTGTCCAGATAAAATGGGTACAAGATATCTTTCTGCTTTTCCTCCTGAGCTATTTGATTGTTTTGAAGCTATAAAACCAGTTTGGGCACCATATTACACCATTGACAAGGTATAAACTACTATAGTTGTTTACTAATTTGTTTATTATATACCATTGATATTAACACTTCCTACATCAACAGATACTGGCAGGTCTTTTGGATCAACACATATTTGCCAATAATGATCAAGCTTTAAAGATGGTGACATGGATGGTTGACTACTTTTACAAGCTGTTCAGAATGTGATAGTGAAGTACACTATTGAAAGACACTGGCTATCATTAAATGAAGAAACTAGCGGCATGAAACGGTGCATAAAACTCATCTAGGAACCTCCTTAGCTCTTCATCGTGGTAAAGTAGCATGATTATCTGTTATATTTTTTGTATCAAATATCAGCCTGAATGACTGGGTTCGTAAGGCATTTGGACATTCCACATAATAGCAAAAGGAGTCATAAACATCATATATTCACTTCCTATAGAGCATTAGGGCAATCTGCAAAAGGAGTTTCATCCAATCTGCAATTATGCAAAGAATTTGGCGCCTTCTTTTGCTTTGAATATCTGTAGTGCGATTATGCCCTTAATTCCAACAAATATTGCATTGAACAAATGAATGTCATTTAACAATCCCAAATACCCTATATAGAGCTGTAAAAGCTGATTTGATAAGTGGCAACACTTAATGAGATTTTTGTAAATTGTCACAATTGGTCAGGGATTTTGGTTTAATAGGTCTTTTTCATCGGGGTTGGGGGGTTGGGAAGAAGGGGTACTGAAGTGTTGTTGGTCCTTTGTAGATTATCACTACATTGTTTTTCCCGTATCTGCAAATTCTCTAATAATTTCAAACTTATTTTTTGACAAGGCTGTTTGTTTGTTGTGACTATGTGTAGGGAGATTCAAAACATTTATTGTTGGCTCACCTTTTTGACAAACCCTGCTCTCTAGGATTGCTTGCGATAAAGGTAATTATTGTTTCTTTTGTTTAATTACTTTAAACTTGTATTGGTAAATAGATTGTATTAAATTTTTGAGGCAATGTGGTGATGGCATACAAGCAGTGAATAGGGCTGTCCAAAGGTGCCACTAGATTCTTGAACTATTTGTGCATAAAATTGATCACATGGAATAATAGTTTGTTATGCATACATGTCATAGTTTGCCGGATATAGAAATAATGGAGATAGATATTGAGTTGGACTTTGGATGTCGAGAGTAGTGTACATTCCAACTTTATAGCAAGGATGCGGTAAAAAAACCAGCTGCCCTTGATTATTGAAATATTGCACTACTTGAACAATTCTAACATGAAAAATTGATGGGAAATTGATGCGAAAACCGTGCTCCTTAGATAGCCAATTACTTAATGTCAACTAAGTCAATCAGTTCTCTAGTCACCTCAAGCAAGAATTTTGGTTCTTGATGAAGCCACTACTTCAGTTGATTCAACTACAGATAATCCTATCCAGAAGATCATCTGAACAGAGTTTAGGGACTACACTGTGTGCACTATTGCTCATCGTATCCCAACTGTTATTGACAGCGATCTAGTTCTGGTCCCCAGTGATGGTGCATACACTAATACTTCCCATTTCTTCTTCCATTTAGTGGAAATAAGTGTTGCTGCAATCTGTAGAACTTTTTCCTAAGAATTTTAGTATAATCTGCATTTGGTAATGTTATTAATTTTCACGGGTATCCAAAAAATTTTCATTTCTTTTTCTTTTAAACTTTTGACAAGATAAATTAAATTAGTAAAAGGCTCTAGAAGAGAAAGCTGCCCTTGTAGGTCTGTAGGAACAATATCAACACCCACAACTCTTTAGATATCTTGCGATGAATAATTCCTGACTCTGCATCTTGTTTTTCACTAGTAACACCAACTAAGCACAATGTGTTTGCATTGAATCAAATTTTCCAAGATTCATCAAATTTTTTTGATGTTCTTGAAATGATGGAAACTCAAGGAGATTATGGTATACAAGAGTATATATCTAAGCTTGATTCTCAGGATATGCAGGTGAATATGTATCTTGATTAAGAGTTAACTTTTAGAATGTAAATATGGGTTTGAGAGAGTTGTTGGTCTTCGACGTCAAAGTCTTAGGTATGATATTTTACACTGTAAAAATATTAGAGAGTTTTGCTTCTCATTTCTCAACTTGAGTATGATGGTATGGCAAGTATTATCTAAAAATGATTCACTCTCTTTGGCTCACAGTAATTGCTGGAAGCTGAATGAAGGCTGTTGCTTCTTGATCCTCTTGTGACCTGTCCCATCAAATTTATTAACATAATGTTTCTACAACTCCAAGGTTGTTTGTACAGTCGATCTTTGTTTTTATTTTCATCTCTCTCTCTGAAGTATCTAAGTATCAAAGTCACTTATAGGTCATTCCACTAAGTCAATTGTGTAAGTGGCCTAGCAATTTTAGAAAAATCTTGAACGAATCTCCTGTAATAACTAGCTAACCCGATAAAGCTACGCACTTCGGTCACATTGGTAGGAGTCGGCCATTTCACAATTGCCTCAATTTTGTGTGGATCAACAGAAACTCCTTCCTTTGTGATAATATGTCCCAGAAATGCCACCTCGAGTAGCCAAAATTCACATTTCTTTAGCTTTGCATACAATTTCTTTTCCCAGAGGGTTTGAAGAATTAAGCGAAGATGGGT